CGGCCCTCTTTTGCCATCGTTTGTAGTCTCCCCCACATGATTTTGATGTAGGTGACAGATGGATAAGATGGAGCAGCTTTAAGCCCAAGTCTGAGCTTGCTAATTAGAACTTTACTTACTTTGAGCTTGCCTTAGAAGGAAAATGGTTTTGCTATTTAATATAAGGAAATTGTTCCCAAATGTCATTAAATCTAGTTTATACAGTGTATCTCATACAGCGTCAAAACAGCCTCCTGGGATTGTACACTTCTTATGCACAATGCTTCAAAAAAGTCAGGAAGCAATTATTTCCCCTAACAGCCTGAATACATTGTTTCAGAGCCTTCATATTCAGCTCTCTTTGTGATGAATACATGGGCGTTTGCATGTGTATTTCAGTTGCTGCTGACTGTTTATTGCTTCAGGAAGTTGTGCTTACTCTCAAAGGTCCGCAGTTCGGGGAAGTTGTCCCCGTGTGAACCAGCCTGGACTGCTACCGCTTGTTGATCAGAGCCCTTTGGAATCCCACAAGCATGGCTAATGATATACACACAGTTTTGCGCAAGAAGGTAGAAGTGTTAACTGTTAGAACAAACAGCTCATGAATACTGGAAATGTTTTTATTCTTGACCCCATAAATCGTGGTTTAAAATCAGGCAAGATGTGTGTCAGTGTGGCGTAGCCTTTCACCCTACTTACTCAATTTATATGTTGAACAAATAAATAAAAAAGCTGGACTACATGGAGAAGAATGTGGCATTAGGATTGGAGAAAGACTCAGGAAAAACCAGTGATATACAGATGATTCAACCTTGCATGCTGAAAGCGGAGAGGACGTGAAACACCGGCTGATGAAGATCAAAGACTACAGCCTTCAGAATCCATTACCCCTCACTGGAAAGAAATGAAGAAAAAAGAAAGAGTTCTCATAGCCAGGCAAATAAACAACATGATGATAATAGAGAAAAGATTGAAGTTGTCAAGGGTTTTCATTTTACTTGGATCCATAATAAGCTCCCATGGAAGGAGCAGTCAAGAAATCAAACGAAGTACTTAATGCATTGAGCGAATCTGCTGCAAACTGTGTGAAAGAGCCAAGACGTCCCCTGGAAGACAAAGGCACGATTAACCTAAACCATGGCATTTCCTTTCTTTCAGGTGTTTGTTGTGAATTGGTTGAAGGCTTATAAGCAAATCGGCTTCCCATTGTAGAGTAGAAGGTTAGTGTCAAAGAGGAAGCCCCTCATTGGGATGCACTGATACAATCATAGGGTCAAACATGGGAACAAGTGTGAGGGCAGGATTTCTGACGATTGTTCCTGGCGTCAGAACCGACTCAACAGCACTTAGCAACACGATGGTTTAAAGTCAAAGTGAACGTTTCTTGGGTAAAGCCATGCTTATTTCTGTACTGTTAGAACAATCGCTGTATTGTTCTCGCTCCTCTTTCTTAGGTTTATTTCACCATTTGCTTCTCTTGACATCACGTAGACCGGAATCTATGAGAAAAAGAAAGACTAAGAGTAGTTAGACAAACCACACCAATTATTAAAGCACAGAACTTGGTTTCAATCTAAAAAATTCACATTTCATGCTCTCTTCAAATTGTCCTTGGTTAGAAATGTTTATTCTTGTTTCACTGTGCCCCTCTAGCTAGCCTGTGTCCTTTTCTGGTGAGGACACTAGATGTCAGTCTCACTGACTGGCCAAGGCATGTGAGATGATGGTCAGGGCATCTAGGAGACCAGTGGGCTGGCCTGAAGGTAATGGTGGGTTCACCACCTGCAGGGGGCCTTACAGTGCTTAGAGAGAATAATGTTCACGTCACAACGCTGATTTATTATTTTACTGCTGGAATTATACCCACCTAAGAGTCTTGGTTTCTGGTAGCGTAGTGGTTACGAATCGGGCTGCGAACCACAAGGTCAGCAGTTCGAAACTACCAGCTGCTCCACGGGAGAAAGATGAGGCTTTCTGCTCCCGTAAAGATTTACAGCCTCGGAAACCCTGTACGGGGTCGCTATGGGTCGGAACCGACTCGAGGGCACACAACAACAACAACAACCAGAGTCTTGGTGTAGCACTTGTAGGATAAGCATAGGACCGCTAACCAAAAGTTCAGTGGTACAAACGCACTAGCTGCTCCTTGGAAACCCTACACAGGGTTGCTGTGAGTCGGAACCAACTCGACAGTGCTCACAAATGCTTACTTGTGCTTTATTGACTATGGAGCAGCTTTCAGCTGCATGGATCATGGCAAACTATAGATAACATTGTGAAGAATGGGTACTCCAGGACACTTAACTGTCCTCAGATGGAACCTTCTGTAGACCAAGAGACAGTCTTTCAAATAGAATATGGGAATCTGAATGGTTTAAAATCAGGAAAGCTGGGCACCAGGGTTGTATTCTTTCACCATGTATGCTAAGCTGAATACAGGGTCACTGTGAATCGGAACCGACTTGACAGCCCTTAACAACAACAACAAATGCTGAGCAAATAATCTAAGAAACTGGATTGTTTGAAGGAGAATGTGGCATCAGGATTGGAAGAAGACTCATTCACAACCTGTGAAATGCAGATGATACAACCTTGCTTGCTGGAAGCAAAGAGGAATTAAAAACGGATGAAGCTCAAAAGACTACAGCCTTCAGTATGGATTACACCTCAGTGTAAAGAAAACAGAAATCCTCACAACTGAACAAATCAGTATCATGATAAATGGAGAAAAGATTGAAGTCAAAGACTTCATTTGGCTCAGATCCATAATCCACACTCATGGAAGCAGCAGTCAAGAAATCCAACGACATAACGCATTCGACAAATCTGCTGCACACGACCTCTTTAAAGTGTTGAAGAGCAAAGATGTCAGTTCGAGGTCTAAGGTGTGCCTCACCCAAGCCACGGTATTTTCAGTAGCTTCATATGCATGTGAAAGCTGGACAGTAAATAAAGATCATAGAAGAATTGATGCATCTGAGTTGTGGTGTTGGAGAAGAATGTTCAAAGTACCATGGACTGCCAGAAAAACAAACCAATCTGTGTTGGAAGAAGTGCAGCCAGGATGGCAGGATTTCATATCTCATACTTTGGAACCAGTCCCCAAAGAAGGGCATCATGCATGGTAAAGTGAAGGGTCAGCATAAAAGGGGAAGACCCCCCAACGAGATGGACGGACCCAGGGCAGCAGCGATGGGCTTCAGTATAATCACAATTGTGAGGCCGGCTCAGGTCTGGTCAGTGTTTTTGGTGGGCAATGAATAAGTCATTGTTCTTGAGAAATCCTATCATGTGATCTCCAGCATCATTTCTATCACCAAAGCCAGTGTTTCCAACTCCTGTCCTCTCTCTGTTTCCAGTACTTACATTTCCTATCACCAGTAATCATCAGTGCATCTTGAATGCGTGTTTGATCAATTTCTGACTGAAGAATTTGGTAGAATGCTTCAATCTTATCATTACTAGCTTTAGTGGTTTGAATACCTCTATTACTCAAATAATAGTGGTGTTAACTGGCATTCCTTGTGGGTGTGTGAATAGTATCGTATCATAGACAGCATTGTACTTCAAGATAGGTCTTAAAATGCTCTTTTTGACTGACAGATAGACAAGTGGTGGTGATTGTGTACCAGGGAGTCAGTTCTCAGTCGTGGCCACCTGTGTGGGTTTTCTGAGGCTGTAAATCTTTACGGGAGTACAAAGGCACATCTATCTCCCTCTGAGTGGCTCGTAGGTTTGAACTGCTGATCTTGTGGTTAGCAGTCCAGCTTGTAACCCACTACATTTGATGACTCTGTACCATCGAGTCAGTTCCAGCTCCTAGCAACCCTGTCCGTGCACCCTCAGCATCATTCCTGTGTTTGAGCCCACTGTTGCAGCCACTGCCTCTGTCTATCTTGTTGAGGGTCTTCCTTTGTTTTACCAGGTACGAGGTCCTTCTCCAGGGAGTGGAGACATATTATCCTCCTGATAATATGTCTAAGATATGGGAGACCAAGTGTCATCGTTGTCACTTCTAAGGCGTATTCTGGCTGTATGTCTTCTAAAATAGATTTGTTCATTCTTCTGGTAGTCCATGGTATACTTCATGTACAAAGGCACAATTCTTTTGCCTTCCTGCCTCACTGTCCAGCTTTCACAATGAAAATATCATTGTGTCCGTTGCACCTTAGTCTTCAATGTGACTTTAAAGAGAGAGTCCATTAAATGCATGCAAAGCCCAGCCTGGGAGTACCAGAAGGCACAGCGGACATCGTTAAGTGAAAGAACCTGGAATTGAGTTAAAAAATTGTCACGAAGATTTTATGTGGGCGTGCCTGAAATTGTTGCAGCAACGAAGGCTGACTCAAGAGGAGATGTCAAGGACTTGGGTTGCAGAATATTGAAGAGGCTTTGAGGACGTTGTTGGTGGTTGGCATCAAGTCAGTTCTTATTCATTGCAATCCCGTGTGCGGAGAGTTGAACTCCTCCGGAGGGTTTGTGACTTTTCACAGCGAGAGCGCCAGATCTGTCTTCCAAAGGTCCTTGGAACCTACAAACCTTCAGGTGGGTGCTAGTGCTTAACCATTTGTACCATCAGGGACTCCTTGAGTTGGAAGAAAGGGCTAGGTCCTGGAAAATTGTCATTTCAGCAAAGGTAGGTCCTTCCAAAGCAAGGGGAGACTTGTAATTGAGCCGCATGCTCTCTGCTTCATCTGGAAAGTGCGCAGGATCTTGGTTTACTTGAAGTCTCAAGAGAAGGTGGGTTTGTAAAGTGCCAGCCAAGCATCAGGGCCAGTGTCCTCTGGCCGAGGTCAGTTCTAGTTGACAGGCTCTTGGCCCCCAAATGCCCATGGCCCAGAGGACCATGTGGCCGGGGTGCCAGGTGGCCGGGGGCTGGAGGGCAGTTGCTGGGAGCAGGGTCATCAGCACATGTGCCAGCCTTCTCTGGCTCTGCCGCGTATGGACGCCATTCAGGAGGGCGTGTCTTCTCTCCACGGAGTTGTGGGCTCTGCTGAGCTGCCTGTCCTGCCATGTTTCAGACAGACGTGATGCACCAGAACGTGTATGACTACATTCACGTGGATGACCGCCAGGACTTCTGTCGGCAGCTGCACTGGGCCATGGACCCGGCCCCAGTGGTACCGGGACAGCCGCCGCTCCCGGAAACAGGTGGGTCCCCAGGAGCAGTAAGGTGACGTGCTGGGGACACTGCAGTGTGCCCGGGCCGTGGGGGTCGTGGTCAGCACCTGGACTGCATTCAGAGACCTCTGCTGTGTGTCCCAGGCCACCTCCCACACCTGCCGTCCTCCGTGGGCAGTCACATCGGGCGGGTCTCGGAGCATGCGCAGTGCTGGTTCCTTTTCTGCGTGGCGAAGCCACCTCGGTAACTGCAGGGTTTATCTGGGTTTGCCAAGTGGCAAAGGCACACCGTCCAGAAATCCCTCTAGTGCACATTAGATCGGCCTGGAGAGAGTGTGGCTGCCTGTTGGGGCATGTGTGTGTGTGTATGTGTGTGTGTGTGTGTGTGTGTGTTGGGGGGGTGCCCTTCATGCACGGACCCCCTACAGATCCAGGCGCTATTCCTGACCCAGAGGCAGGCCTGTTCTCCTCACTGCTACCAAGGAAAAGGGGCACCGCCACCCTCGACAAGGACAGGCGGCTTTGAGACCCTGAGGCCCTCGGCTCATTCCCATATTTCCAGAGAATTTCTAACAAGTCAAGAAGTCCCCATCTCGACTGACAAACAGCAGTATGATCCCTTTACAGACCCAGCCAGAGTCCCCGAGGAACTGCACGCTGTGACCATACACGCACACGCACACTGAGCTGTTGAAAAGGGTGGCTGGGCTCCCATGCTCTCTGAGCTCATTGGCCGTGTTTGCAGGGACAGGAGAGGACGCTATACTGAGGAGGCTGTTCCAGCCCGGGGGCGCCGGTCCTCCTGCTGAGTTTGCCGCCTTCCTGACCCGCTGCTTCGTGTGCCGTGTACGCTGTCTGCTCGACAGCACATCCGGGTTCCTGGTGAGTGGGAAGGAGGGGAGGGGCTGGGCCATGCACCGGACCCTGGGTTCACTTGCTGTGTGAGGGGTCACTGACTCACTGTGGACTTGGGCCAGGCCGGGCCAGCGTTTCCACAGGGAAGGATTGATTTGCTGGCCTAACAGAACCACAAGTGGGTACTATAATGCGTGGAATCCACAGTCTCTGAGGTCTGCAGGCTGGACATCTGAGATCAGGGTGTCAGCTGTGTGGACCCCGTGGGGACCAGCCAGCTCTCGGGGCACCAGAAACCCTTTGTTGCTTACAGATGCAGTCTCACGTGGCATCTGTCTGTCCCCACTTCTGTCTCTGTGACCATCTCCTTCATATGAGGACACCACTCATGATGAAATTGTCCCACCCTGCTCTGGGACATCTTCTAACCGATAACGTCTCCTAAGCTGAAGCAATAGTATCTTCCCATTAAGTTCTAATGACTTCTAAGACAGACCTTGTTTCTAAACACTGCCATGTTCACTAGTACAGGCTAGCTGGGATGTCCACATGCTTCCTGAGGGACACAGGTCAGTCCACACACAGGTGACCCGAAAGTGCAGAACTCTGACGCAGGGAGGCCCTGTGATGATGTGCGCAAGCGAGTGAGAGAACGGAGCTTCGACCTGCAGCTGCAGACACATGAGAAGAGCTCTGTGAACTTCCTGTTTTAAAATCATGAAAAATCTGCAGTAGGTTTTTATACAAGATGATGCTTATTCCAGACCCATTGTGACTTCACTTAAAGTTCATTTTACAGACTCAGCAAGGAAGTCATGGGAACTCATTGAAAGATTCAGCAACATGGCAGGGCACACTATCAACATAAAAAAATCAGTCGGGTTCATTTGTGCTGATAAAGAGAGCTCTGAAAACAAAATCAGGACAATAATGCCATTTGCAATAACCACCAAAATACTTAAAAATAAATCTAACCAGAGAAACAAAAGACATATGCAGAGAAAACCATAAAACACTACTATAAGAAACTGCAAGAGACTTACAAAAATGAAGGACTATACCAGGCTCATAGATAGGAAGGCTCGACATTGTGAAAATGCCAACACTCCCCAAAGCATCTGTAAATGTCATGCAATCCCAATCCAGATTCCAACAACGTCCTTTAAAGAGACAGAAAAACTAATCAACAACTTTGTATGGAAAGGAAAGAGACCCCAGATAAGCAAAGCATTACAAAACAAGAACAGAATAGGAGGCCTCTCACTTCCTGATTTCAAAACCTACTACACAGCCACAGTGGTCTCAAAACAACCTGGTACTGGTACAGTGAAAGACACTTAGATCAAAGGAACAGAATTGAGAACTCAGCAATAAATCCATTCACCTACGGTCAGCTGATCTTCGATAAAGGACCAAAACCTATGTCTCTTCAACAAATGCTGCTGGCAAAACTGGAAATCCGTTTGAAGTATGCAACAGGACCCATATCTCACACCATCTGCAAAAACGAACTCAACATGAATCAAAGACCTAAATATAAGACCTAGAACTTTATAGATCATCAGTGAAAAAAACGGGCAAACTTAGGGACTCTCATACATGGCATAAATACACCAGACAACTTAACTGCAAACACGCAAACAGCAGAAAACAAAATAGATGACTGGGACCTCCTAAAAATCAGACCCTCACGTGCATCAAAAGCGTTCACCAAAAGAGTAAAAAGAGAACCTACAGAATGGGGAAAAACAGGCCATGACATACATTTCAGACAAGGCGCTGCTGCCTACAATTTCTAGAATATTCCAACACCTCAATAAGAAGACAAAGAATCCAGTTAGAAAATGGGCAGAGGACATGAACAGACATTCTACTAAAGAAGAGATTCAGGCAGCCAACAAACATGGAAAAATGCTCATGATCATTGTTGTTGTTGTGCAGTGCCGTCTTGAGTCGGTTTTGACTCACAGCAACTCTGTATAGGCTTTCTGAAGAGCTGCTGGTAGGTTTGAACCACTGACATTGTGCTTAGAAGTCCAGGACTCATTAGCCATTGGTGTTGCTGTTGTTGTTAAGTGGTGTGGAGTTGGTTCCGACCCATAGCGACCCTGTATAGGGTTTCCAAGGAGTGACTTGTGAGTTTGAACATTGACACCGTGATTCAAACCGACCTTGCAGTCCAGCGCTTTATCCCGCAGCGCCACACTGGGACTCCATTTAGAGAGAGGCAAATCAAAAACAAGAATGAGATTTCATCTTACTTCAGCATTCATTACAAAGGTCAAGAAAACAGAAAAACAGAGGGTGTGGAGCGTATGGGACCCTCCAACCCTGCTGGTGGGACTGTAAAATGGTGCAGCCGCTTTTGCAAGGTTGGAAATAGAAATACTGAATGATCCAGCTATCTCTCTACTTTATAAACCCCCAAGATAAAGAGCCTTAACACGAATACACACCAGGTTCACTGCAGCACTCTTCAAACCAGCAAAAACAATGGAGACCGCCTAAATGCCCGTCGGCAGATGAATGGTTGGACGGACATTGGTACCGACACATAATGGACACTGAAGAATAACAACGAATCTGCAAAACACCAAAGAACCTGGAGGGACCTGGAGGGCATTATGCTGGGTGAAATTAGTCAGTCTCAAAGGGCCACAGACTGTATGGGACCACTTCTGTAAAAAGTCAGGAGAAGGTCTTCATTCTATGATGGTTACCAGGACTGGGAGGGAAGGGAGAATTCTTCACTGGTAAGTTGGGTGTCATGTGCTAATTTGAGTGACAGGGAAGGCAGTTAAAAAGAAAAGGAAGGAGGGGAGGAAATTGCTTCTTCCCTTTTTGGGGCGTTAATTGTACAGAGGGCCACCCGTAGTGTTTCTAGCAGAGCCCAGCTTCCAGCTTTCCACACGTTCCTGGGGTTCCCACTCCTCGTACGTGACTGCCGCCTCAACACGTCTTATACCATTTGGCTTCTGCACAGGAGGAACGGGTGGGAATGAGGTCAGGCTCTTTGTACCAGCTCTATGGAGTCCAGGTGTGGCGCTGTGGGCTAATGCGTCATACTGCAAAGTCGTTTGAACTGCAAGGTCGGTGGTTCAAGCTGCTCTTTGGAAACCCTACACAGGGTCACTATGGGTTGGAATCAACTCGATGGCACTTAACAACAACAACACCAGCTGTATGGCGGGTCTTTCTCACCTTGGTGCTGCCTGAGGACAGAAGTTTAAGTGACTGGTTGGAGGGGAGGTCTGAAATGCTGAGCACCAGTGCGTACCCTCACTTTCCCACACTGTGTTGGATACCACATGTGCTTTGTGGGATCTCAGAACGGTGGCAGCAGGAATGTGGGCAGGAGACTGGCAGCCCCCAGCTCTGGGCTTTACCTGTCACACCACACACCCAGAATCCTCTGCTGCTACGGATGCAGGGAAATCCTCGTGTGTCTTTTAAGCACTCAGTTAACATGCACACAATTTAGAATTCAAGATTACCAAAATCAAAGATATTCTTGTCTTTCAGTTTTACAGTATCTTGTTCTCATTTTTGTGTAACTTAAGGTCATTAGTCCACTGCTTGTCCGTCAGTTTGCCGTACTGTGATGGTTTCCATGTTACTGGGCTGCTGGAAGCTAGGCCACCAGCATTTTAAATACCAGCACAGAGTCCTGGTGTGGCATGGTGGGTCAATGCGATTCAAGCTCACCTGCCGCTCCTCGGAAAACCTATCCAGGGTCGCTATGGGTTGAAACCGACTCGACGGCACTTAACATTAACAACAGGGTCACTCATAGTGGACAGGTTTCAGCGGAGTTTCCTGACTAAGCCAAAGTAGGAAGAAGAGACTCACTTCTGAATGGTGAGTCGCTGAAAGCATTATGAAGAGCATCAGCACATTGTCAGATAAAGTGCCGGAAAATGAAAACATTATAAATAGCCCCAGAGTCCCAGTGTGGTGCTGTGGGATAATGTGCTGGACTGCAAGGTCGGTGGTTCAAACTCACCAGCCGTTCCTCAGAAACTCTATATGGGTTGCTATGCATCAGAACCAACTTGACGACGCTTAACAACAACAATAACAACAAGCTGGCCGACTGATTGGAAGATAGCCATATTTGTGCCCAGTCCAAAGAGAAGTGACTGAATGGAATGTGGAAATCGTCGAACAATATCATTCATAGTTGCCTTAGCATCTCTACATAGTGACCAATTCCACAGAAGGCATCGGCGAAAAACAAGGCTCTTGGTATTAAAGGAGTCCTGGTGTGGCGCTGTGGGCCAATGCGTCAGACTGCAAAGTCGTTTGAACTGCAAGGTCCATGGTTCAAGCTCACCAGCTGCTCCTCGGAAACCCTATACAGGGTCGTTATGGGTCGGAATCAATTCTATGGCACTTAACAACAGCAACATATATTAATGGAATACAAATGGATATCTGTAAACAAACTAAAACAGACCTGAAGGTGCTCACTTATCTCTGCTAAGAAATTTGGAAGACAACTATCTGGCCAGCCGATTGGAAGAGATCCGTGTTTGTGCCCATTCCAATGAGGTGACCCAATGGTATGGGAAAACATTGAACAATATCACTAACATTACATGCAAGTAAAATTTTAACTGAAGATAAAATCAGTTATGACAGTATGCCCACAGAGAACTGTGGGCGTATGTCATAACTGATTTGACAGGCATTTAAACTGAATTCAGACAAGGACGTTGAACTAGGGATATCTGCATTGCTGACATCAGATAGATCTTGACTGAAAGCAGAGACTACCAGAAAGATGCTTACTTGTGCTTTATTGACTACACAAAGGCTTTTGGCTGTGTAGACAGTGACAAGCCATGGATAACATTGGGAAGAATAGGTATTCCAGAACACCTAATTGTACTCATGAGGAACCTATACATAGATTAAGAGGTAGTTGTTCAAACAGAACAAGGGGACCCTGAATAGTTTAATTTAAAATCAGGAAAGGTATGAGCCAGGGTTGAATTCGTTTGCTACACTTATTTTAATCTGTATGCTGAGCTCATAATCTGAGAAGCTGGATTATGTGAAGAAGAATGTGGCATCAGGATTAGAGGAAGACTCATTAACAACCTGAGACATGCAGAGGATAATGCAAGCAAAGAGGACTTAAAATACTTACTGATGAAGATCAAATATTTCAGCCTTCAGTATGGGCTATAACTCAGTGTAAAGAAACCAGAAATCCTCACAATTGGACCAAGAAATAACATCATGATAAGCAGAGAAAAGATTGAATTTGTTAAAACAGTTTGTTTTGCTTGGATCTACCATCAACACTCATGGAAACAGCAGTTGAGAAACGGAATGACGACGTATTGCATTTGGCAAGTCTGCTGCACAAGACCTCTTTAAAGTGTTTAAGAACAATGATACCAGTTTGAGGGCTAAAGCGACGCAAGCATGGTACTTTCAATAGCCTCGTATGTATATGAAAGTTGGACGATGAATAAGGAAGACCATAGACAAACTGATGCGCTTGAGTTCTGGTGTTGGAGAAGAATGTTGCTAGCACTGTGGACCGCCAGAAGAACAAACAAATCTGTCCTGGAAGAAGTACAGTCAGAATGCTCCTTAGATGCTTCGGTGGCGAGACTTTGTCACTCATACTTCGGATCTATCAGGAGGGGCCAGTCAGTCCCTGGAGAAGGACATCATGCTTGGTAAAGTGGAGGGTTAGCGATGAGATGGATTGGCACAGTGGCAGCAGCAGTGGGTTCAAGTGTAACATTTGTGAGGTTGGCGCAGGACCGGACCGTGCTTCATTCTGTTGTGCACGGGGTCACTAGGAGTTGGAACCAACTCGATGGCACCTAACAACAACTAAAAGGTCATTATTATTCATTAGCTGATAGGAATGTTGTCCCTGATTTTTTAAATTAAAGTCATCTCTCCTGAGTTAATAGAAAACTTTTCTTTCCAATGACACACATTGGTCTAAGCTGCACTGGAATTTGACTGGGCACCCAGGCAGAGACTGAAACGTAGATAAAACTGCAAAACAAATGGGTGAATGAAGGAAATGAGCAAGGTTGCCATAAAACAAACAAAATAAGTGTCTCCTTATGCTTCCTACCAGCACTTGTGTCTCCCCGACTGCATTTACCAAAGTGCCGGGAGTTGGAACACAGCCCCTCCCAACTTGAGCCCGTGTGTCTGTGGGAGTCACCACTTCCACATCTGGACAAGGTGCTGCCCACAGAGCCAGCTTGCGCTGCCCACGAAAGCCTGATGTTAACTTTTCAGAAGTTCTCTCATCCTTTTGCTGCTATTCTGGGGGCTTGAAATCATCTGTGGTGGGAGTATTTACACAACAGACTGACAAGCACAACAACGCAGAGCTCTTCTCCTAGAGAGCTGGCTGTGGGACATGTGTGAGCTCACTCCTGCCTTGATTCTCCACACTGGGCATGTATGTCATCAGCAGATGGCCGGTGATCTGCCAGTGTCCATCCTGTGAATAAATCCATGGTCAGATGGATAAAAGAGTGAGTGGATGGAAAGCTGGATGGATGAGTGAATGGATAAATGGATGGACAGACTGATGGAAGGAAGCCTGAATGAATGGATGGAGATGGGTGGATGGATGGATGGATGGATGGATG